GTCTTCCAAGCTCAGGAATACACTGAAACAATCCTGGCATATCATTTCTAAACCTACAAATGAAGACGCTTCTCGCGCCGTGAAAGATGTACTGTTTATATCACTGTTTCTTGTCAGGTCCAACATCCTCACTGCTTATGAAAATATGCTGCTTGTGTAGGCAAATGTAAGTTTGTATTAGGAAATACTGATATAACAGTAAAGGGATTTTTATTCTATTTATTCTATTTTTATTATTCAAATATCATCATACACCGCTGTCATCCCATCATGCATATTGAGGATAAACCTAATACTCTTTTTAGAAATGGAAGAATACATACAATGATACAAGAGTAAACTGTCCTACTTCACCTATATTCGACCTATTAGCTGATGGTTGTTCATGATTATTTATGAATTCCTGCATCAAGTTCATCTTGCCATTATACTAACTTTTGCTATTTTGTCAGCTTAAGATCTGTAATTTTCTTTCTTTGTCAAGGTTCTGAGAATATTTGCAAATGAGCTCACAAAAGTGGTGTTTTGTGCCCACAACCCTATAGTGAATTTCTGAAAGAAGCAGAAGGAATCTTATTTGAATCATTCTGATACATTCGTGTGCTTTGTGCTGCCAGAGATGGCCTAGAAATGGTGATGTCCGTGGAGAAAAGAGTAAGGAAATGAAAAAGGGGGTCATCTTTCTGCCATATTTTTAATTTGTTCTCACAATTGCTTTATAGGGAGTCTGTATGCATGATGGGTTGTGAAAACCTTTTGATTAACATTTTGTTTATGTGTGTGTGTTTAATATCTAGGCCAAAATGCTTAAATCTTAAAGGTTCTTTATTGGCACCTATGATTCCACGAATAACCTTTAAAGGCGTCATGAACTAAGAAATCAAAATTCCCTTGATCTTTTGACAAATATGAGGTCATTGTACTATATAAATATCCGGTAAGTTTCAGAACTCAAAACTTTCTCATTAGTCTAAAAACAGCTTGTATTGAAGCCAATATGCCAAAATGACAGGTTGTGGAATGTGCCACTTTATGATGTAATAATGTGGCTAAACCCTGCCTCCACAGAAGAAGATCAATGCCTGCTCCTACATCACTGCCTGCTAAGCCCTGCCCACTGATTCGCAGTCTTTGCATTGCATTGTCTTCCTTCTGATCCCAGCATTAGGAAAGAGTGGATGAACTTTATTTTTAATGAAACTCCAGAACACGACAGTAAGAACTTGGTCCTTTGTTCACTTCATTTTACTGTGGATTCGTTTACAAACAAGGCACAATTCGACACAGGATTTTCAGAAAGATTGAAATTTAAAGACGATGCTGTGCCGACTATGTGGATCTGACAGTAATGTCGCACCACACAAGTTTGAGTAGGATAAATACCAAGTTCTTTCATGAAACTCTAGATGGCGCAGGCTGATGGGTCCTTAACGTAACTGATTATATTCTTAGCATTAAATGACTTGTCACGAGCTGTTTGGTTCATGTTGCATACGCAGCCAATGAGCTTGCTGCTTTACATTTAAATGGCTGATTAGCATTCGCTTGAGGCAGCAATAATCTAAAAATACAGCAATAACCAACAGCAGCAGCGTAGCAGATCTATTCCGCCAAGACCAAATACATTAACATTGTCATATCCATTACCATGCTAAAATCTTTAGAGAGTTCTCATGGTAGAACTGTTTTTATTATGTGGTCACTATTACTTTGTCTGTTATTACAGATCGTTTTTACTGATATGTACAAATAGTTATGCATTTTTAACCTAATTCACATCAGTGTCCATTTATGAAGGATGTAGGCTGTCAAACTGTTAGCCAATCATAGCAGTGGGCGTTTACTTCCGAGTCTACAATCCGCCACACCTCTTCAAATAGAACGTTCCGATGAGGGGGGTCAAAACAGAACAGAAAATAGCCTATTACTTCTAAATTATGATATTTTTTGATGTAAAAATCATTATAAGTGGACCTCAGAGAACAGTACAAAATAATAAAAAAGCAGTTCATGGCCCCTTTAACATCCATGGAACGTTTCTATTCCAAAAAAAGGTTCTTTATCCACCTTTTTCTTGTCGTAAAAATGGGCGCGGCCATTTGTAAATTTCTTTTAAATAGTCTCTTCCTGCCTCCGCACACACACACTGCTCAGTCCTCAGCCACTGGGAAGGAAAATACTTTTGCAATGTAATTTTTATGTAAGATGTTATTTTGAAACGAATAAGTGAAAAATGCTTTGGAGAAAAGCTGACACTTTTTCCATTTCCCTCATCTGTAAAACCTCTTTCTGTAATCTTTTCCCGTATCGTAAAAAATTGCAATTGC